TCACAAATTCTTTACGGCAAGAAGTAACAGTGCTTTTTAATACAAAGAGCAAAATATATCTTAAGGTATATAAAAGTTTCTCATTTTTTGTTCCAAAAATTTATTTTAAAAATACTTTTTTCCATTTCTTTTATCAATTTTGAGGTAATGGTGTCAAAAATCTTGTTCATGTGAACATATTTGTACATTATATATTTAGTTTATTTTTCAGTATTTTATTCCTTTAGGTAATTTAGGAAGTTAGTACAAGACTGACATATTTAAATGAAATATTTTAAGAGTTTTTTTCTTCTAGTCAAAAAACAAATTTAATGAGTTTTGCTGCAGTATTTAGTCTGCCCATGATTTTATTCTCCCCCCCATGTGTTTATGTGGCATAGAATAATGCTGCGAATTTTAAAGCTGGTAGTTTATAATTTCTAAGGTTTTTCAAAGACTTTCTACTAAAAAATTTACAAAGTAAAGAATATTATATTTTTATGGTTACCAATAATAGCAGCAGAAAGATAACTTACTTTCAGGAAATGTGAAAGTTGAAAAGCGGAAGGCCACTGAATAAATAGAACAAAACTTCGATATTTAAACAAATTTGTTAATGTTTAATTGATTTGGTATTGTATTTTGATGATATTATATTGCAAAAACCATTAAATTTGTTTTTCAGTACTTTAGCTTAAGTATTTATATGAATTTGTTTAAGTACAAGCTGTATCAACATAATAAATCCACATAGTATTCCTTCTGCTTAATATTGTTACTTCATTTCAAGTTTAATATCATCTCTCAAGATTACTTTAATGCAAATGAAAAAAAGAAAAAAGTGTTTTTGAATGGAAAAAAATTCTTAAAAAAATATATATCATGTCGCCCCCGAAAAAAAAAAACAAAAAAAAAAACCGATATATAGAAAATTATAAAAAATGCGATATCATTATTTATGTACAAAACTATTTCAATATTTATTATTTTTTTTGGCATAACGGAGTAATGGGTGTTACTCAATTAGATATAAAATTTATATGTTTAACGGCCTTTTTTTAACACACTGATTTCAAAACCATGTCAAAATTCTGAATTTAATTCATTAAGTATAAAATATTGTTCTATTAGTCCCTTAGCAATTTATAAATTACACTAAAAATCTAATTAATTTAATAGCATATCTTTCTATTTTATATGATATATTCCACACATTTAATAAGTTGTGTAATTAATAAGTAAGTATTAATAAGAGTGTAATCATCATAACAAGGAACTATTTTTATAATTATTAAAGTATCTAAATCATTACACATGTTATTATAACGAGGCATAACAATTACTAATTGGTGTATTTCAATTAACATTTTAATGATGGGACTGCCAACTGGCATTCTAATCAAGCTCTACGTTAGTTATCAATTGCATGTTAATTGTTATCATTTCCTAACAAAAAGTAAGGTGACAAAAAGAGTTTCTTGGCGGTGTATTGAAATTAGGGGCTTGAAAAAGCGTGGGATTGCTGCTCAGTGTAGGGGGAAAATATTATTTAAAAAATATTTGCTTGGTTAAGAATTCAGAATTCCCAGCTGAATTAACTGGTTAAGAACTCGCAAATTTATTTCAGGATGCTAAACTGAACTATTGGAGAGATTATCTTTTAAATATTAATGTTTGTAAGTTGTTGAATGTTTATAGCTATATGGAATGGAAATTATTTCAATGAAGATATATTATATGTCTGAAATTAAACTCGAAAATGGTGCTGATTTTTTTTTTTTTTTTTTTTTTTTTTTTTTGTAAAAAGCGAAAATCTATTGTTGTAACAAGGTGTTTCCTAGTTAATAATGATTGTAATAATCTTGTTTTCCACAGAAAAACTAAAGCAAGGGGGTAGGTAGAAGCCTTTATGGACCAGATTTTTTGCCGAATAAAAACTGTTAACGTCTGAATAACGTGAATTTTTGTGTCTTCTACAAGCCTTTGTTTAAAGTTGGATATTTTTCTGGTGCAGTGGTTGAAGTACTTGTCTTTTGATTCAAAAATCTCTCCTTTGAATAACGTCAGGTGCTTTAGCTTGCTTTCTTTTTTGGGATAATCCTTTTAAGAGCTCTTCGTTAATAAAATTAATTGTCACTTGAGAGAAGAATAATTTATTTAGTGACGTTTAGTTTGCATTCACTCTTCAGATATGTATAAAGGAAGCTTCCCCTCGGTTATATGACTTTTACAGTAAGAAAAACTAAGAAATTTTATTTCTATTTTCATTTTATTGGACTTCAGAAGATAGTTTAGGCCAGCTTAGTGTCCATCTATTTCAAATACATTACGAAATGTCGGTAGGAAATTTGTATAATTTTTAAAAGCTTCTTAAATGAATGAGTTGTGTTTGAGTGGGAAAGGAATGTTTGTTCCTTAGAAATAGGTTTTCCTTAGGATTATACCACTGTACTTGTTGTTTGGAATATTATTAGTAATGATCTTTTAGTTCCGTTCTCTAATTCTCATAAAATTGCTTGTGATGACGATATTCTCCATATCGTTGAATAAGGGTTTTTAAATAATAGGTATTTCTGCATGCGATCCGCGTTAAATTTCATCTTTTGTAAAGTGGTCTAATTCCCAAATTGCATTTTTGCCACATAAAAAGTTTTTAAAAAAATTAATTTTGATTGTTAATGGTGTATTTGATGCAAAAACTAGGGCCTCTTAACTCTGAGTATCTCTTCCTTGATTTTGTTTCCGAATGTTATCTGTTGTTCCGAATCTCGGTGTTATTTTAACTAAGATATTGAAAAAAATAGAAAAATTACATTGCATAAGTTTCTTTAAAGTACGAAGAATTTCGTGCTGGTCTTTGTCATACTTTGGCGTTAGTTTTGAATTTTTAAGAACTATGTATAAACATGGAATCGTGCCGTTTGTTTCTTACGAACCTTATTCCTGAGGGCATGTTTTAAAAAGTAATGGTATAGACTGAGGAAGATTCAAATGCGTATTAAAGAGTACAGTTTTGAAGCAATATTTACTATTATAAGAGTCCATCCTATTTGCTTGAAAACTTAATTTTTAAACGAGTAAACGAGTATTTGGTCGACTGCATCGATGGAAAGTTTCCTCATTGTTACTTTTCCCATAATTTTACTTTGGGACGAAAACAAGTAATTAATTATGAGAAGTACCTCGAAAATTATATCCAAAATGTTTGTTTTACAGACAATTTTAAAATGAATGATAAATGTGTCTTTGAAAAGTTGAATCTTAATATTTCTTTGATAAATGTCTGAAAACGGTATACTCATTATAATCGAAATGAATGTACAATTTTTCAAGCGGAATTGGTTTGCATTTATTTTGAAGTCAAATGATTTAAGAAATATGGAAATCTGGGTCATGGTATCTTACATGTCTGATCGTCTCTCTTTAACATTTATTGAAAAATAATTAAAGTGCAAAAAAATTAGCCATTGAAAAGGTTTTGACTATTAGTTATTTCAGCAGTAGAAATACTGAAGTTCTCTTGTTTATGTGCAGGGATATTACGAAATGAACGCTGGTGAAAGAGCCGAATTTTATTGAAATACGTTTTGAATATGCCAGTGAACATCTGTTCGTAATCCAGTTTTGAATATACCAATGGGCATCAGTTCCCTACGGTTCCTAAGAGCTTTCGGAAGACATGTTACCATATAAACTCATGGTTAAATATAATGAAGAATTTATCTCATCTTGCAAATCTACTCATATCAGAAAAATATTCCTTTCCATTAAGCACGGGCTCAAACCTATATCATTCTTTTTTACAGACTTTAAAATTACGCACTTTATTTCTAGGCATGGCAATTTTGCACTAGTTTTACCTCAAGCCGAATGATTTTGAGTTTTTTTTTTTTTTTTTAAAGGGTGACATATGGAATCATTTGCTGTCTTGCCCTTCGATGAATCGAAATTCATTCACCAATTAAATCTAGGTACAGAAATTCATTCATAAATCAATAACCCGACTCTTTCTTCTGACTAACTTGAGAAGTTTTGTTAAATCTTGCCCAGCGAAATTTGATGTTTTTATTGCTTCAAACCAGCCTCTTTATCTCTTTCGGAAATTTTGTAAATACTACTTATAATGTGAGTTGATTTTCCATTGTTTCTTTGATTTTGTTAATTTAATTATGTTAATCCAATACTTTACGTACCTGACACACGGTAGATTGTATTGTTCTTGTTAAAAATATTATTAATTGTTAACATAATTATAAACATTTATTTTGAGAGTAAAAATATTAATTATTAATTATATCTATTTTATATTGATACTAAAACTGATGTATGAAGCAAAAACCACAAAATTCGAATAATTATTTATCGTAATTAAAATGTTAATTAAGAAACTAGTATTCTTTCCCATCATTAATATGTTAGAGTTTTGAAAAAATTCGCAGTGATAAAAGTTTTACTTGAAATGTTTAAACGTTGTATTGCTGAATTTATGCTGGGAAATATTTCTGAATATTTTGTATATATATATATATACATATATGTTTAATATTCAGAAGTTTCAGAAGCAGTATTCAGAAAAGCATTTTATTTTAAGAAACGCAAGGTTTGAGTGGCTTAAGGTTTTTTTTTTTTTTTTTTTTTTAAATGTGGCAGATATTTTTTCTTTCTTTTAATGGAATGTTTTAGAGCTTTTATCTCTGATTAATTAACCAATACTGAATCAGAGTTTATAGTTAATTATTTTCTGCTTAGTGACGCATGAGATAAGTACGTCGAAAACATTGTAAATTAGAACTCGGAAACAAAATAAATCTGAAAGGATACGAAAATAGAACATTCTATGAACAGAAAAAGTTTTAATTATTTTTTAATGAGAGTTAAATTGTGACAGAGCTGATAAAAAAAGAGGATATCTTAAATATTGATTGGTGATGCAGTTGTAATTGTAATGTTACTTAACTATTAAATGGATAAGATATACTGCAAAAAATATAAAAATTCCTTTAAAAATATCTTGAAGTGCCCTCTTGGGAGGAAAATGCATTCTAAACATTTAAAACTATGGCTATTTTATTTCTTCATGACATTTCAAGTGAAAATACTTACAAATGTGCTGAGAGAATTATACCTATTGAAAATATTCCTTTTTCACCTGCAATGCATTTCAGTTCTGTATTCTCTACTTCATAAGTTGGTAAAAGATTTTTTATAAACACTATACTGATTAATTACAACTACTTCCCTTGTCAGCTTGAGCATTATAACTATTCAGAGTTCTAAAAGTATTGTAATTTACTATTCCTTCAAAAGTTGAGTATATTGCAGTTTTTTCACACAGTATTATTTATTTTATCTTTGATTGGTTGGAGGTAAGAGTATTTTAATCATGAATTAGTTTGGAAAAAAGTATAGTTTATTTAGTTGTTTTCACATTATACTGATACTTAATTACACTAAAAGACTGAGAGGTGATTGGCGATCAAAACTGCCAAGAAAACAAATTAAAAAATTATGTAATCAATGCTCTTGCTTTTTTTTTTTTTCTGAGCCGTTTGTTTAGTAGTTTATAAATAAAAACATATACGTTTTATAAAGTTAGTAATTGCTAATATGTTAGGAGAAAGGACTGATCTAGAAAATATCTGATTGACTTGATTTTTTAGGCGTTAGGGAAATAGAAAATCTTGATTTAAAATTGAATTATTTATTATTTTAATTTTAGTAGCAAACAGCAGCTAACATCATATACTATTATTTCATGCTGTTCTAGATATCGGTGCTTTTCATTTAATTCAATGTTTTACTCTTAATTAAATATGAATGGTGGTTTTCAGAGCAGCTTAAATTTAATGCAAAATTTGAGCCTTTTCATAATTTTTATTTTGAAATGTCCAATTTTGTTGACAGTGCTTCATAAGTATTAAATTAAAATCACCTCTCAGCTATTAAAGACTGAAAAGATTCAAAAAGACACACATAAATTGCTGAGCCAAGGGGTAGTTGTCGGACAACATTGGAAGCCTTACTACTGAGTCATCACTTACAATGGGAAATTTTACACTTGTATTTATAAGTATTATATATGTATATATACTGTTATGTACACACAAAAAAGCAATGATTTTCATATTGCATCACTGGTAGACCTCTTTTGAGAATTTCAAATTTATGGCAAATCATCTGCAGACAAATTTACAAAGACGTAAAATATTTAAATATAATATATAAAATAGAGTATACAGCAACAAGACAATATTCATATGTTTTAAAAATAAAAGTCAAAAAGACGGGAAAAAATTCATTTTGAATATCCATTGGTTGTCAGCTTACGATCTTTATATGTTTCTTTGCAATTTTCCTTTTCTTTTCATAAAATTGGAGACATTGTCATATCTTTTTAGTCAAAAACCAAAGAAGAATGAATGTTCCCCCCCCCCTCGTTTACGTATTTTCTTGAACTAGGGGTGCACAATTTGAATTTATTTGCAAACTAAACGAAGTACAAGTTATAAAAAATCTTGCTTTCCATTACCGATTAATCAAATTATTTAAATAACTTGTGGAATATTAGAAAATTCGTCACCCAGACGGGGAAGTGGTTTCCTGACTGAAGTACCGAAGGGCCTGGGTTCGAATCCCGTACAAGATATGAATATAATTTGTCCTTCCCTTCATAGGAGGTAACAGTGGCCCACCCATTAAAGTTGCATCCGTAATAAAGTTATCACCGCTTCGAGCCTTAGTACTGGCCAACGCCTGCCTATAAACGGCTAGAGCCCGCCATTGGCGAGCAGAATTAGAAAATTCTGGATATATCAATAAGAATTTAGGTAATGTCATAAATTGTTACATTGAGTTAAGAATCCTATCTTCTGACGTTAGTAAATATCCAGTGTTCTCTGTAGTAGTGTAGGCTAGACTACCTAGTGATATCTTGTCCATGATTAAAATAACAATTTAACTGTAAGTTTAGTTCAATACTGTAATTCTTCATGTATATTAGTACCCAAAATAGATTAATTTTAATTCATCTATTTTGCACACTAATATGAATGGAAATTTTAATAAAAATTTAAATTAATATGTTTGATGCTCTGATTACAAGATGCAGAGGTATTTTGTAATTTGTTTTCAAAATAAATTTGCTTGAATAATATTCATCATTGAATAAATGATTTCATACAAGTAAATTCATTGGCTCTGAGGTTTCTCTCATTAGTGCTGGAAAGTGATATAAAGCTGCCGAACTAAATTAGTATGTTGCAGTGTACTTTTTATTAAAATTGTATATATTCAAATACTTAAATATTGTTATTTAATGGTCCTTAATGTGTAGATATTTTGCCTTTTAAAATAATTTGGTTTTTTGAGCATTTATTTAGCTGTGAATTTAAAGAATAATTTTACTAAATTTCACATTGCCTGTTCCAGATCACGGTTATTTTTTTCTAAATAAATTGAGAGGAGGGACGATAACTAAATTAGAAGCGTCAGACATTCTTTTATTTTTATTTGGAAAACTTTTCCTCTCATTTTAAAAATACTGCATTTCCGGAACAGCACCTAACAGTTTATTTTATACAATTTGCCTAAGAAAATTTCGATTTCTAAATTTTATTTTTATAGAAACTTATTTAATGAAATCTGTAGAAGAATATTGTGCACCCCTGTCTTAATTGAAAATTACGTTAAACGTTAAAAAAATTGCAAATTGAAAAAAAAAAAAAAGGAAAAGGATATTTTGTCACTTAACATTTTCTGTTCATATCCCATATTTTAGTTAACTGTCGAAACATCTTCTTTCATATTAGAAAAACACACGTTTTACAGGCTAGGGTAACATTGATATGACAACTAGTTTTAAATAAATTAAAGTTTTTTATAGCCTATGTGCATTTTCATATTCCATGATGTTTCCTCTCTTTAGAGGAAAATATATCTTTGGCCTCCAAAATTCAAATGCCAAAAGTGGTCCTCCAGACGATGATGAAAACCACAGCACAGAAAGCAAGAATTTGTGGAACGGTTCATAATACTAGGGGAAACGACAATTTTCTCAATAAGCATGGACAGTATCCAAGTCACCGAGATCTTCCAAATCAAGAGCAGAGCACTCCGCCCATGGCTGGTTCTGCAGTGTATCTTGCTGCTGTTGCAAAGGTGGCCTTTCTACAATGTATGATGCAGCATTTTGTTGCACATAACTATTGATAAATATTCCATTATTGTTTCCACCGATCATGGCATTAGTTGTGGGGACAGATGATGCACTGGTATTACCAAAAGGTACTGAAATACTGAGCAGGGGTGTGACAGTGACATCGAAAGAGGGGTGTTGAAACCCCCACCAGTCTGTCGTGTTTGAGATGCCATGAGTTGACCCTCCGATGTCTAAATGATCGGTAGTCACCAGATCTAACTCGTTAGGGAGATCTGAGCTACTGCCATCTGAGCTGAAGAGATCATCATTGAGTGCCAGAGCTGTGTTTACGACCGACGAAATTGAATCTTCTGGGCGATATTTATACAGGCTCTCCAACTCTAGATCGGGATCACCGAGAACATTCCAACACAAGTCGTTATTATTTTGTCCATTCATGGCAGAATTTTGTGGAGCCCGTAATCCTCCATTATTCATACCAGAATGAGGTAACGGTTCCAAAACTTGAAGCACCTCTGTGTCATGCTGGCTCATGGTTGGCGGTGAGGTTTTATTAGGGACCTGGTGGCGCTGCGGCGTAGGCACAAGCAATCGATCGGTTTGAAAGTCGCACATGGTATTGGAACTAGTGGTAGCATATGCGAAAACTTCTTGGTGTGATGGAGAGGACATTACAGGAAGAGGCTTTAAATCGGCCATCATTTCCATTTCAGTGTGCGCCAATAGAGATCCTGCAGAACTAGGCGGTGTATCTTGTTGAAAGGTCTCCAGGACCCTAGATAAAGTATCTGACTGTCCTTTCAGTTTATTGTCCCTTCTGGATTTTTTCGTATTTCCACCTCCTGCTTGTCTCTGAGCGGGCCTTCTTTTCTTAAATATGCCATCTACTAGAGACTCAGCATACTGAGGATCCAGTCTCCAAAATCCTCCTTTCCCAGGTTCGTCTTTACTTCTGGGAATTTTAATAAAACATTTATTGAGCGACAAGTTGTGGCGGATGGAGTTCTGAAAAACGAAACGAAACAGAATTACAAACTGAATATATGGTGCAAAATTATGCAAATAATCACAGTTATATACAGTTACGAAGAAAAATGTAGTATATATATATATATTTTTTCTTTTTAAAGTTTTCTATTATCATTATACCGGCTTCATTTCCTCACACAATAGATATGTCTATCCTAAGCTTTTCGAGCAGAGATTAAGTTGCTCAAATAAGATGACTGAATTCTCTACATGTGGATGGAGAGGTTTGTTGATGCCAGGTTTCAGGTATTCAACATCTGTGCGTGATGTGGGTCTATAGCCCTATGATAGAGAGCTGAGTAACAGTTAGGTATTTCTATGAGAAGATAGCGATGGAAAACTACGGTATCTGTTCCGAAAAAGGTCCGATGGACCTGTTTTAGAATCTCGGAGGAGGCATGTATGTTTGTAAGTCTATAGTGTCTATGCAGCAGGGGGCACTCAAAATACAAGGCAAACTGAAAGTCCTCTCGAGAGGTTGTGGTAGAAGAAGAGGGGTGGGTGACCTTCCGAACACTCCCGGAGTGATTTACCTCGCACTAAGGCGGAACTGCACAGTTAGTGCGCCGTTGGTACCGTACCTGTACGACTAATGGTGAAATTCTGGTGCCCTTCCCATTTCTACCTGTACATGTCGTAGCTGCTCCGAAAGGAGAAATTAATGATGAATGAATGCAAAAGATGATCATCATACGGTGAAAAATTCTTTGCTTTGAATACTGAAGTAGTTACGGAATATTTGATTAAGTTTCCTTTACCTGAGAGCTGAACGCTTGGGATTATCGTACAAAATCCATATTTTATCAATAGTCACGTTATGATAAAAATAATATTATTGCGTTCTACGGGTTCGTGGATTTGGAGTGATTAACGACAACACTTGATGGATAATTGAAAACACAATTTATTAGCCACTATTACTCAGGACAGTTCCATAAACACGTTTTGCATCTAATGGTTCTGTGAGACCAAAGGTGCATCCAAGAGATAAGAGGTTTTGTAAACAATAACAACATTTATTTACAAGAAAATATATGAAAATTTTAAGCAATTAGAGATATATTATTAGGCATCGCTGCTTTCCATGTCCTACATCTTTGGTATCCTGCCTGCCACTGACTATTGGGACGAACACAGCGCCCTCTAGTCAGAATGACGCTGGAAATATGTAATACTCCCCACCTGAACTCACTTGAGTTCACTTACCATTGAATTTTAACTAAATTTACATTCAGGAACCATTTAAAATTACAAGAATAAAAATATAAATAGCATATTATATCAAATACAAAGCTTCAAAATTATTCAGTGACTTAACATACAAAAACCAATTACACTTTTAACTTCCAAAGAAAATTGTTCAAATATCAAGCATTAAAATATAAGCACAATTAAACTACCATTAATACACAGATAGAAACATTAACAGGTTGCAACTCAATTAAACTAACACAATCAAGGATTAATTTCCAAATTATACACAAGTTGTACTGAGCGTTTTATTTGTCCTTTAGGAGTCTGAATAAGAAGAGAACGAACTTTCCCATCTCTTCCTGGATATAGCTCTAAATTTTTCCCATCATCCACATATTTCTGGGATAACGCTCATCATTAATCAAAACAATATCATTCACTTTAAATGAAACTATTTTACCTGGTTGTGGAGAAATATAAGCTGATCTTAGATTAAGTAAATATTCCTTTCTCCACCTGTTCCAGAAGTGATTCAAAAGTGTTTGCTGATATTTATATTTCTTTACCAAAGAATTTCCTATTAACATTAAAATTTTCATGTTTATGTTTTTATACAGGTAAAGACACCAATCCTTTTACCAATAAGAAAATGAGATGGGGTGAGTGGAGAGGGTTCTGAGGGTTCGTTGTACAGATACGTGATAGGCCTGGAATTAACCAGAGCTTCAATTTCCGAAAAAAAAACAGTTTTCCAATTCCTTCAAAGAGAGAGAGAGGATCGTCCAACAATTTTCTTTAAGCAGGTTTTAACCGTTCGTATCTGTCTCTCCCAGAAACCTCCCCACCATGGACTTTTTTTCAACTATAAAATTCCAAACTATACCTTTAGAAGCAAACAAATTTTTAACTTGATCATTATCTATCTGATTCCACCATTTTTTCAATTCACAATTTGCTTTTTTAAAAGCTTTGGCGTTATCAGAATATATAGTGGAACATAATCCTCGACGAGAAACAAATCGTCGGAATCCTAACAAAAAGAAATCAGCACTTATGTTAAGAACTACTTCTAAGTGGATAGCTCTTGTCACTGCACAGCTGAATATAAGTAAATAACACTTTGAATTAAAATCACGAACAAAAAATGGTCCGGCAAAATCCACACACCATTCAAATGGTGGATGCTCTTGAATTCTGTCAGGCGGTAAAGGGGCAACCACCTGCATTCCAGATTTCACTTTGAATTGTCTACAAATCAGACAGTTATTTAACACTTTTTTCACAAAATGACGACCTTTAACAATCCAGAATTGTTCTCGTAAATGTGTTAAAAGTTGCATCAACACTTAAATGGCACATTTTAGTATGAGAATCACAGATAAGTAGTTCAACAAATTTATCATTAGATGGAAGAAGCCAAGGATGTTTGGCTCGCATATCGTTACTTGAAAACTGTAAACGTCCCTTTAAACAAAGTAAGTTATTATCATCAAGTTCAGGATTCAAATTAAATATGCGTGAACTCTTATCGATAGTTCCTTTAGAAAGAAGTTGGGTAACTTCTGTACTATAATGCTTGAATTGAGTAGCTTTGATCCAAAAACGCAAAGCTTGCTCGAGTTCTGGAGCACATATAGGTCCATTTAATTTTGTAGAATTAGGTTTAGAATTGTGCACAAACCTTTTAATCCAAGCAGTAACACGCAGTAATCTACTTAATTCGCTGAAGTCATTAACGTCCAGTAACGACGACATAGGTAAGTTTCCATTAGCTGAACTGGTTACCATGGAATTAACCAGTGCAGTCCGTCGCTCTTTCACTATAACGCGTTCATCACAGATGTCATTAAAATGATGTAGCGATTCTTGAAAGAGGCCACGAGTAAAGTGGTTTAGACAACCAAACAGGGCCTGACCACCACAGAGAACTTGTAAGAATCCTCCTAGCCGATTCTCCTCTAGTAGTAAGGTCTGCGGGATTGTCGGAGCCACTGCAATGGTTCCAACACTCTGGTAGAGTCAGCGACTGCACTTGAGCTACTCTGTTGGCGACAAATGGTTTCCATTGTTTAGAAGATCCTTTCAACCAATGAAGGACGATTTGAGAGTCGCTCCAAAAGAAAATTTGTTTCGCGAAATTAGGAAATAGACCTTGTAAATAATTTCCTAAACGTGCAGCGAGGAGTGCTGCCATTAACTCTAATCTTGCAAGAGTCAAAGTTTTTAAAGGAGCAACTTTACTTTTTGACATTATAAAGCTCACTTTGATTTGGCCATTGTAATTCACGTACCTTAGGAACGCAACAGCCCCATATGCCTTGGGACTGGCGTCACAAAACACATGAAGAGAAACTTCACTTATTTCTACACTTTCAAAAAACCTTCTTTCAATAGATACTGATTCAAGTTCACAAAGTTCAGAACACCAGGTTTTCCATTTATTTTGTAGGTCACTTGGCAAATCTTCATCCCATTGTAGACCACGTTCCCACATCTCTTGCAGAAGAATTTTCACAGTGATTACAAAGGGACTAATCAGTCCACATGGATCAAATATCTTTGAAATAACTCTCAAAACGTGACGCTTGGTGATTCTAGCATCAATGGAATCCCTAACATCTCTTAAATCTAATTTAATTTTATCCTCAATCGGATCCCACTTCAATCCCAAGAAACCTGTTCCTTGCCCGAAGTCAGTATTTTCCTCATATCCGTTTTCATTCCAAAGTTTATACAATTCCGGACAATTAGTTTTTAATTTCCTCAAATGAAATCCCGCTGCTTTTAATATCTCTATTGCCGTAGACGTCAAATGAATAAGCATCTTGAACGGTATTGGCTCCATAGCAGAGATCATCAACATAAAGAAAAGAATTTAACATGTCATAACATTTTGGATGATGTTCCTTAAATTTCTTAATGTGAAATTTCAAAACGCAAGCCAAGGAAAATGGCGAAGTAGTTAAACCGAATGGGAGACGATTTAAATGAAGAGTTTCGGTTGAATCACCTACCTCTTCGGGAAACCACAAAAAATTTAAGGTATTTTCTATCTTCCTCCGCAATCTCTATCATAAGAAAAGCTTTCTCTAAATCTCCGCAAAATGCAACTTGATATTCTCGAAATTTAAGAATTATGTCCAATAAATTTGCATAAAGATTTACTCCCGATTCTAGAGACTCATTAAGAGATTTATTATTTTCATTAGCCTTACTGCTACAGTCATAAACAATTCTAACTCGAGTTGTTTCCTTGTCATCCCTAATTACCGCTCTGTGGGGCATATAATATCCTGAATTTTTATCTTCATTAACACATTTTCCCACAATCTGACATTCTAACTGATCCGATATAATTTGTTTATACTGGTCATAAATTTCTTGATTTTTATTTAGTTTGTGCTTTAACGAATCAAAACGCTTTTTCGCAACCTCATAATTAGAATTCAACCCAACTGCAGGTCCCAAGTTTTCCTTCCACATCAATCTACAAACGTACCTTTCCCCATTAAATTCCAGAGAATTTTCAAATTTTTCAATCAATTGATTGTCCCATTCAGAAAAGTTTTGTTTGTCTGACTGAAATTCTTCTATTTTCCAAAATGTTTTCAAATCGCACAAAATGGAAGAAGAGTCCATGACTAAACATACATTTTCATAATTATCAGTCCATTTATTACTTCCTTCCACTCCCGCTAATAACCAACCGAAACAAGAATTTATCGCAGTAATGTTTTCATTAACTTTACTCTCTCGTCATAAACAGCGTCCCAAAATGAATC